ACTTTATGAAACCATAGCAGACTAAATAAACAAAGACCATTTGGGAAATGCAACTAGCAGGTAAATCAAGTCATCTCTGGTAAGAATCTGTATGACGTCATTCAATGAACCGCAAATTTTTGGGTTCCGACTTGAGAGAGTTTAGTCATCAATTTAGGATTATGATTACAGGATGCCTGCAAAGTTCCAAGAATTCAAGGTAGTGATATTTTCTTTAAAATGATACGATTATTATTCACCAATCCAGCGATGGAGGACTTGTTCAGTGCTTAGTTCTTTTATTATCGTTCTAATGTTCTTACTAAGCCGTTCCATTTACATCTGTTTACTTCCTTTCATGGATATTTAACAAACAAGCAATAGAAGTAATTATAATAAAAGCATACGAAACTAAGCAAATAACTCTAATGATAAACAACTATAATAATAAACAATAAATAATATTAGCTGTTGATGGTCTCAAGCCCGGTTAAGAATAGAGGAGGATGGAGTCCGTGGCAAGGCTCCGCAAAATTTAGCCACCTGCTACTCATGGTACTGACGTCATTAAAAATAATATAGGCTCGGTCGACGCCCGGGCTACCAAGGGCCGCGAAGGCTGTTCCGAGAGTGAGGAAGACTGCAGACTTGAAAAGCCTCGGAGCCGGCTGCGGGTCTGCCAGAATAATTTGTTTGCCATGTGAAAATTCGACTCCAGCACATCACCGAACTTCTTCCAGGAATCAGTTTTGGCTTTTGTCACTGCTTTAGCTGACGCCTTGCGTCACTCGACATATCGCACGCGAGTAGAAGGCTATTTGTTTCCAAGCCATTTTTGAACGCTGCTTTCTTCACTTTAACTGACAGTTCTACCTCTCGTGTCCACTATAAAGATCTTTTCTGACCTCTAGGCGGCAGGCCAACCCGTTTAAAGCCGCAGCATTCGGCGGAGCCCTCGAGTATTCCGTTTTCAGAGAGGAATAATTTTCCACATCAGATGTCATCACGGGATCTGTTCAAACCGTCGTGCGATGTTGTTTGCAAATTTCGCTCTTGTGTCCACTTAAGACAATATTTTCCATTTGATTCTCCGGTAGTTTCTGCTACCTGATCTTCGTTTGGTACTTCATCACTTATGGCGCATCGTGCCAACAACAAGGTGATGACTGGTTGAGAGCTCTGCGCCTCTTTTAACACGAACATCCATTACCGAGCGTCTTAAGTCAGACGACACGACTATCAAATCGATCATCGACTTCTGTGCACAAGCTTCCCGGTAAAAGGTGTACTGATGCACTTTTCGATGCTCGAAGAAGGTGTTCATAATAGACAGCCGGCTGTTTGCACAAAACCGCAACAACTTCATGCCGTTACTGTTGAAGTCGCTAGTGCCGTTTTTTCTAGCCACCTGGTTCCACTTTTCGACGTCTACTCCGACGTGCACATTAAAATCGCCCATCAGTATGAGGGACTCTGTATTCGGCACTGCGGACAGAGCACAGTGCACTTCCTCAAGGAACGTCTCATATTCTCCTTCCAAATTGGGCACATAGACCTGTACCAAGGTCATCGATTTAGCCTGTTGTAGCT